TGCGCGTTGTCCTGCATTCCACTGCTAGCCACCAGCCACCAATTGTATACAAATAGATTATGATTAACGATGATCGTCGAGGAGAAAATCAAACCAAACTGCTTATTTTTTGTAGTCATTATAACCATGTATCTTAAGACTGGTTAAGTTAATTTTAGATACTATAATAAAGAAAAGTGAGGACTATATATTAGGGAAAGGAAAGTATGAAAGGATATGGAGAAGTGGTCTTGAAGTCATTGACTCAGCTCTTTACCAGTTGAATTATGATATCCTGATTATTACCAGAATTCCATTTTACATTAGTCACAAGTAGATTTCTACGAGTTGATCACGGATCGATATCAGCTAGAGAACCATTAAAAACCAGCTGAGAGTAGTGGACAGCTGTTTCATCCTAGTTTGGGAAGCATCGGCAGTACGCACCCACCACCCGGGTTTGAACTCAGGACCTTCCGGTTACAAGGCAAACTCGTATAACATTCAGCCACAGGGACCCAACTCCATGGCTCATGAATTCTAACCGGAAAGTCCTGGTGTCGAATCCCAATGGGTGCGTACTGCCGATGATTTCCAAACTAGGATGAAACAGCTGTCCACTACTCCCATCTAGTTTTCAATAGTTCTCTAGCTGATATCAATCCGTGATCAACTCGTAAAAACAAAACTAACCCTTACAAACCAAATTACAAAAAATAAGTAGATTTGCCAAACAGTTGTTCTAATGCCACACTGCAATCAGGTTTTCTATTCACTCCAAACAAAATATTAGTCGTATTATACTGGAATGACTAAATCATTATGTACTGAATGTAGAAGTCTGCCTAGAACAAACTGGATTCACGTATAGAAAATCACGTTCGGATCGAAATGCAAGTCTACACATCATCATCATCATCATCAAAATTAGAATAGAATATCATTCAAAACTCTATCTCAATCTCACCGACTTTGAAGAGGCCTCTCACAGTGTTGACCGTGAAGAAATTTAGGAAACTAATTCAACACTCGGGAGTTCAGTGCTCCAAATCTTTACCAACCTCATTTAACAGCTCTATATGACAATCGCACATGTCAGGTGGTCCACAACGGAAAACTCAGTGAAGCCTTTAAAGTGAATACATGAGTAAGACTAGGCTACCTATTGTTCCTCATTGTGTTGAACTGGATCACGCGGTTGACCGTCGAGAGCGGGGAGACAGAAATACACCGGAAAGTAGACTCTAGAAGATTTGGACTTCGCTGACTATTTATGTGTAATATCATACAAACTCGAGCAACTACAGACGAAAACTAACAACTTAGCAAACAAGGCAGAGAAAAAGACAAGACTTCAAATGAACATAGAGAATACAGAGGTGATTAAGATACCTAACGAACAACAACAACAAGAGGTACCAATCACACAGCATGCCCTACAGTGGAACCCTAATGGAAAACGATGAATTTGGCCCCTGAGGGGGACATAGAGGAGAACATGTAAGGAGGAGAAATGAGGACCCTTGGATAATTGTGAAGCCGGCTAAAAAGGACTGTAAAGAACAAAGTGAGCAATATTGAGGTTAGGCATCGAGTGCTAAGTAAGGAGGGGAAATCAACAGACGAGGCTGTGAAGCTACATCGACTGAGATGGTTGGGACATGTGTTACGCATGCCTAGCCTAGCCATCGCCTTTCCCGATGGACAATGTTAGCTGACATATGGTCAGGTTGGAAAAGAGCCAGTGGTGGTCAAACCAAAACATGGCTTCATTAGTCAATGAAATCCACAACAGTTAGTTTAAGTCATGTAGGAAGATGCAGACTTCCTGGTTAGGGGTCCTCAGGCCAGTAAACACCAATGAAAATTGGTGTTATGGCTCAAAATCATTCTGTATAGCGCAGATGCATCCACTTCTTTGACTTATAATATCCAATAAAACTATATTGTTCTTCGATATTACTATTCATTTTGCCTCATATCTCTCTTTACTGTCTCTATTTTGCGTTTCTTTTTACTTTCCTCTCTGGTTTTGTGTACTGAGTGAAGTGTGGCGACTTGAACTGCTGCACATCGGTGCAAAGTTCTATGTTGAAACTATTCAATCAGTCAGAAACGGAGATGTAATGTTCTCCCTGGGACCCAATGGGGAAATTAGTAGCACTCCAATTAAGTCAAAACAACTTATTATTCAGATAAGGGTTGAAATTTCAATAGCATATACATCAGGCAGATTATCCAGCAGCATAAAAATCTTCTCTAATTTAATCATAACAAATACTGAGTTGAATTGTTGTCGCCAAAACATAAATCATGTTTAACTTAATCAACTGCGTATGTTTATATTCTTTTGCTCAGATGTCAACAGGTAAACACTAATAAGCAAATAATGGTAAAGGCAATCTGTGCTATGGGTAAACATTCCGTTCAGTTTTAAAACAGATTTATTAACCATACGATGATTGCAGGAGGTAAAATTAAGTCCTCATTCAAAAAAAAAAGATAATTTCCTTATCCACTCGTACCACTGATGAAAAAAGGTGGGGGAAGATTTACGCCAGAAAAAACATGACTAAAAAGGAAAATATTAGTAAAACCCGACGATAAGATCAAATTTCATTCGTAGGAAAGAGAGGAAATATTTACTCTAGTATGATCAATTTGGGGTCATAACCTGTAAGTCTGTCTCTCAGTTTTGGTGTAATTGTTGACTAGGCACTCAAAATCTCAGACTCTAAACCCAGACTGGAAACAGCAATATGAATTTATATACCTATTTTCAAATTATTGAGCTCAGTGGTATATTAGAGTGACAAATGCTAAATACAAAAACGCAAAGTGATGATTACACATTAAAATATACAACTAGTTTAATTATATACAACACTGAACAAAGGAGAATTAAAACAATTAGTCCCTATGATACATTTGAATAGGGCGTCTATAAGACAAACTTCACGAGACGATGACAATATTTACTTTTATTATTTCTGTTATATTTATGGTCCTGTTACTTCTTTGTTTTACTCTCATAATTGCAAACAACAACTTATCTCTATGACTACTGTAATCTTCGTACTCCCCTCACCATATCATTTAAAGAGAACATTATATGCAATATTTTTAAACATGCCAGGATTTCTATACCACATTGACAATACTGTGTGAAACAAGCCCACGGCAATTTTCATTTGTGTTATTATTATTACCTTAGCTGTTATCATTATTATTTCCATTTTATATGCTGCATGTTTCTGACATTACCTCTATTGTAAATGTGGAAAATTTTCTGTGTGATTAATTTTATTTATAATTTGAGGAAATTAGATGCAATATTGTGATGAATGCTGAAAATTCCATTCTGTATCACAAGTCCTGTTTTTGGAATAAAGTAAATCATTATTATTTAAAAAAATTATTTCATAGTTTCTCTACAATCGCTTTACCAAACAACATAGTTCACAGTAATAAAATAAGACGCATGACAATCACCCAATTATGCTAAACAAAAGTACATTCTAACGACCAATCACATTTAAATAGGTCAAGTAGTCAGTCCATGGTGGGCGAAGGTTGAAGTCTATTCTTTACTGTACACCTCCGAGTGACTTCCGAATTCGAATCGAATAACAGATTCGATTTCTTGTATATTTTAATGACTAGGAGAGACTATATTTCGTAATCAGACATGGAGTGGATAATATCTTCATTTCACCAGTTTTTCCTATCCAGTATAAACGTTCTTTTATGAAGTGTTTGTTTTCAAGGACTCGCAAAATATGCAGGACAAACACATTGATAGTTGAGCTTATGTACAGAAGAAAACTATCTTCATTGACCTACCATTCTAGAGAGATCAAATTATGCAGTCGGCAACTCAAAGACTTCTGTCAGCCATGGGGTGCACATTCAACGCTGCATCTCTTTCCATCACATTTCGAAGGATTTCGACGCCTGCACCTAAGATTAAACGACGAAATTCTGTTGACTCCACTCCACACTGTATCTACAAGTTCACCTACAATCCCAGTGACACTTACATAATCAGAACCAATACAATATTCCAGTGACGTCGGAAACAACATCTTTTTAAACAGTTATTAAGACACACTAAAAACCCAAATGCAATTAGTCTGAATAGAAATCCGTCATCAACATCATCCATTGCAAAGCACTTATTAATGTCTGGTCACGAAATCAATATCAACGACTGTTTCACAATTATTTCATCACATAACTCTAATTCAAGGTTATTCAAAGTGATGATGGAAGCACTTTGGAGGATTAATCAATCACATACATCCTAAACTATGTGTACGAAAAAAACAATAAACACTTCAACCTTCGCCCACCATGGACTGACTACTTGACCTATTTAAATATAATTGTTTATTTGTATGTACTTTTGTTTTGCATAAGTGAGTAATTCTCATGCATTTTACTTTATTTTATTATTGTGAACCATGTTGTTTGGTAAATCGATTGTAGAGAAACTACGAAATGTTATCATTATCTCGTGAAGTTTGTCTCCTAGACGCCTTATTTAAAGGAAAATTAATTGAATTCAATTTTAGATTTTCCCGTCGATTGTTTGGACCAAAGTGCTCGGTCTCAGGTTGACATGTCGGTTTCTTGTGCAGATGCTATGACGATGTCAGAAGTTAATTGGTGGACGGTGACTAGCTTTGGAATCTATGATGCGCATATCGTCCTATTCGGAACTCTTCAACTTGATGTACTACGTTCCACAGTGAATGATGTTCTCAAACGCCACTGAACAAGACGTGGTTCCGCTGGCCTGAGTGTTCTAGGAGATAACACTTTGCCGTTTGAAGCTATAGGCGCTGAGTTCGAGCCTCGGTGGGAACATCATCACTCACCGCGGAATACAGATACATCCAGGGATGAGTTCCAAATAGGACGAAATGCGCATCCTGCATTCCATCGCTAGTCACCATCCACCAATTAAAAGTCAATTAATATTACACAAAAAATATTTATAAAAGAATAAATAGTATTACCTATAATAACCAGGAAGAATAATATGAACTCCTGAACTTGGTTGACAGATAGCTGGCAATTTTTTATCATCCATTTGACGTATACTATCCGTGAATGGTCCAGTAGCATTAATAACACAACGAGCATTAATTGTAAACTCTTTACCAGTTAAACGATCTCTAACACGTGCACCTGATACAATAGGTGTTGATTCAGGAGTATTCTCTAGTGTTGATTTCAAAGAAATTGATTTTGTTTGAGACGATTTTTTAATGAGTTCAACAGCTTCAACATAATTAGCAATTGCAGCATTGTAACGAGCTGCTGTCAAAGCTATACTCAAACACATACGAGCATCTTCTTGTTGACCTGTAAAACAATTTTAAAAAAACAAACAGTCAATTTTCTATCAATAGAAATACAAAGAAAATTAGAATACTGATAATAGTACAGCAATAAACTGGAATACTGTATGCAAAGAAGAGTAGTGAGCAGGTATAAAATATGACAATACTGACAACTTCGGTAAGCTTATGCAGGAATGAATTTTGAGACGTTCAACAGCTCCTACCAGTTTCAACAATGAACGTTAAGATTGCTAACTAACTTCAACTTACTATTCAAATATTTTAAAGATATAACTATATGAAAGCTTTAATTGGTGGATGATGACTAACAGTGGGATCCACGACAACGCGCATTTCGCCCTATTTTGGACTCCTCACTGGATGTACCTGCATTTCTCAGTGAGTGATGATGTTCCCACTAAGGCTGGAACCCAGTGCACATAGTTTCAAACGCCAAAGCGTTATCCACTAGACCCATTTCGGTCCAATCAATCGACGGGAAAATCTAAAATTCACTTAAATATATGAAGGCTTACTCAATTCTAGAAGCACACCTGATCATCTACTCGATGACTAAATTACATCTACGATCCAAAATCGTCACTTTTAACCTAGAAGGCACAGTAGCGGATCACAATACTGAACTATAACTTTGACCATGACACTGACAGGGAACACGAGCGAGAATACTTATTTAACGGTTATCTAAACATTTCTGAACACAACTGATTACTTTCAGAGCAGATTCCGTAACAAACCAGTGCCAGTTGCAAATTATCAAAAAAATCATGAAGTACTGGAAGGGTGTTACATCGTTGTTTGTACACTTCAACAGCGCGCACCCACCACGCCGACCGTCACCCGCACCTCCACGATACGAGGCTAACATTGACTGGAACGCAATGACCCGTGAAATCTAACTTCTACCGATTCGTGATTTAGCAGTACCACCAACCGATGCCATCGATGAGCGTCAAATTCACTTTGACATAGTGGAACCAACTGGTCACGACTTCGATTTACAACTTTAGGTCATCCATTCAGTAGCCGACAATAAGCTGAAGATGGAGAATTAGATTATGGATTTTGTAAGACTTTAAATTAATTTCGGTAAAGATTTCGTCACGAATCAACATTAGTGTGAGAACACTGAATAGCTGTTGCGCCCCAGTTCGGGACTCTTTGGCAGTACATGCCTACCAGCAACCAGACAAAGAGCCTCCAGGTTACGGAATCATGCTCGTGGACCATTCGGCCACTTGGCTTGGAATTCAATGAATTCATGTCACGTTTTATTCCTAGTAGGTTCGCGGCTGTGCAATGCTGAAGAGTCTCAAACTAGGACAAAACAGTTGTCCTTGGGTCGTTAGGTCCTATTAATCTCTAACTGATGTTGGTTTGTGACGACATCTACATTGAAATTGAGCCAAATTCCTACGAAAAAAACGTATTATCTAAATAAGAATTGATTACTGTTGTGAATCAACCAAGAGATCTTATTTTTCCATGGTTAAATTAGCACTAATGTTTATGTAGGTCAATTTATCTCATAATCTAGTGTTTACTGACTTAGATGCCTTCAAGAAGCGCCGACACGTAGATCATGATGGTAAAGGAAAACATAGTAAACGTAAGAGAAGGTGTACAAGGTTAAGTCACATCATTTTAGATATAAATGGAATGCATTATAGCAAAAAGTCAGTTGCTTAATAATGGAATGCGACATATTCATTCTGTGCCAAAAGTTATATACATTGCATTCAGTATTATATTCTGTATTAGTTGGACGTGAAAATATAAGAGAAAAAAATATATATATTGTCTGTAATTTTCTATACAGAACAAACACAGAATACAATAATGATAGGTTAATCGGACAATGAGACAACCAAATAGTTATGCAATAAAATTCTTTTGGCACAGTGTGTTCCGTTAGAGAACCACGCAAACATAAGAATTATCGAGCAGCCATTGACTCTTAGTTTGAGATTCTTCGCCAGTGCGCACCCACTGGGGTTCGATCCCAGGACCTTCCGAGTACAAGGCAAGCTCGTAGAACATTCACCTATTGGAACCCGACTCGACGGCCCACTAGTTGTAACTCTTACCAGTTTGTGACTTCAGTATGACCACCAGCCAATGTGAACGATCCCGGTGGATGCGACCTGTCAACAAGTTCCAGACTAAGACAGAACAGCTATCCAGTACTCCCCATATATATATATATATATATATATATATATATATATATATATATAAGTATAGTCCTTAAAACATTTTTCAAGTCAATCATAAAACTACCCTATTTTCTAATGGCATGTTAGTGGTTTTTCACTTTCTACAGAATAGCTAGTCTTTTCTGATTGGGTATATGTTTTATTATATATGCCGTGACACTTAACACAACGAGTTCAAGATAATTAATATTTTCTTTGTCATGCACACGAAAGCGTAACTTGTACTTTTAAAATTTTGTTGTTTGCACACCTCAGATGTATGTATTTATTATATGTATGAAAGGAAAACGCCTACAAGTAATTCACTTAATGAAGCAGTCGTTAAGACTACACTTCTGTTCATTCAAATGCCAAAGCGCTTAGTCCACAAAACTATAAGAGACATCTCTAGTGCAACAGGTATCAGTTATTATTATTACTATTATTTCGCACTGCATTACAACTCAGAATATTCAATCAACCGGAAATGTGAATAAACATAAAAATAAATATTCGCTCTTTAGTTTACTTATTCGCTTTTCCACTGAAGTACTTCTAAAGTGTCATCGGTAAGTAGATAATTAAAGAATCATTGAAAAATGAACAGTTATTTCACTCTAACTTTGGGACCTTCAGTAGTGCACACCGATGACTCTACTAGGGATCGAATACAGGACCCTCAGTTTACGATAGACCATGTTACTCTTCAGGTAATGGGTCGAAATTCAGTGATACAAGAATTCTAAAACCTGTAGCCAAAATTAATACGCAAAAAAAACAGTTGGAAATTAATCCACCGATAACTAGTGACTATGTTGCGTCGGTGGCATAGCGGTTAGGACGCTCGCCGACCATGCACACGGTCCAGGGTTCGATCCCCGGCCACCGACACACTCCTTTACCTCGCTAAGCCAGAACTAATGCTGGTAAAGAGGCAAGGTCGGGCATGAGGCTAGCAACCTCATCCTGTAAAATAAACACTACTACAGAAACTTCAAGCCACTAGCTTGAAGCTATATGTTCCACTGTGGAACGTGAAGGAAAAAATAAAATAACTAGTGATTATGAGATGAACTTCCGTGGATTCTAATAAGAAGTCACAACTATCAGGATGCATCAAATCTGATGTCAGAACAGATAATTATCGATAATGCACGAATGATATTCTCGCTCGTATAATTTGATGGTTTTGCTTACTACCCCTGGTGGGTGATACTGCTGAAGAGTCCCAAACTAGGATGGGAAAACTACATATCCAGTGATTCTACCTTCAAATCGACCACAAACTCCTGTAAATCATTCATTCAAAATTATTTTAGTTAATTAACTTTTCTTATTAAAGAATGACTGAAACAAAAAATCCACTTGTTTTATTTATTTTTTTTTTGGTTTTTCACTCTTGGCTATTATGTTAGTAATGAACAGAAGTGTAGTCTTAACGACTGCTTCATTAAGTGAATTACTTGTAGGAGTTTTCCTTTCATACAAAGAATAAATACATACATCTGAGGTGTGTAAACAACAAAATTTTAAAAGTACAAGTTACGCTTTCGTGTGCATGACAAAGAAAATATGAATTACCTTGAACTCGTTGTGTTAAGTGTCACGGCATATATAATAAAACATATACCCAATCAGAAAAGACTAGCTATTCTGTAGGAAGTGAAAACCACTAACATGCAATAATTACTGAAGGATGAAGGATATGAGTCACCGTATATCCACAGGCATCAAGGTTAGCATACAAGTAGTTTTGAGTATCACGTTTAGAATAGTGACTGTTGGTCAGGAGTGCTTAATTTTCAACAGTTTTAACTGCATTTAATTGAATTTGAGATTTTCCCGTCGACTGATTGGACCGAAGTAATCGGTCTCAGGTTGACATGTCGGCCTCTTGTGCAGATGCTTCGACGATGTCTGGGCATTTATAGTTAGGATACAATTGGTGGATGGTGATTAGCAGTGGAATCCACCAAGATGCGCATTTCGTCCTACTTGGGACCCATCAGCCCAATGTACCTGCATTTCTCAATGAGTGATGATGTTCCCACCGAGGCTCGAACCCAGTGTCCATAGTTTCAAACGCCAAAGCGTTATCCACTAGACCATTTGGGCCACGAGAGCCACCTCTTGTGCAACAGGTCATATTACTTGAATTTGAGATTTTCATTGCAACCGATTCACCATAGACAAGTGGATGCTTTTTTCACTAACACTCAATTCACTTCAGAATGATAGTCTCTTAACTTATTTTCCCTTTAGTTATTTGTATAATTTTAAAATGTTGCTTCGTAGGGGTGTGATTGATTTGAAACTAGATCAAGGACTAGCATCAGTTAAAGAAAGCATCGAAAGTTAGGGAGTACTGGATGACTGTTTCGTTTCAATCTGGGATTCTTCAGCATTACATACAGCTCCATTTATATAAATTAATATCACACTACTATTATTCCATTACCTTCTGAATAGGACACAGAGCTTCAACAGCACATCTCTATTTCATCCTGTTCTCTGCAGTCTTCTCTAACTGGTCCTCTTCACACGACTTCCTCCATGTTACCCTCGGACGCCCAACTCACCATTTCCCACTCAGGTTTCACTCTACGAACTGGCACGCGACGGCAGTCAACGGGAATATCACACTAGTTATCAATACTTTTTATCACACATTTTTCTCTGGGTAAGTAGATTTCTAAACCACTTTCCCATTATTATGTTGCTGCCTTCTACAATTTAATCTACTGACTGTTTAGACAAACATTCCTGAGGAATAATATAACATAATAACAAATTAAACTGACGAATTATACTTCAGGCCGAGTGATGAAAAGGAAAAAGTCTGCTCAAAGTAGACAAATGACATTAGTGAATATGATATCAGTAAAATACTACACAATCAATAACAGAAAAGCAGAGAAACACCTTACCATCATAATATACTAATCCCCCAACCAATTTATCACGTTTCAATAAAGGGAAACGTTCTAATGCTTGTGATTTACTCAAGTAATAACTAGCTTTCAGAATTTGAGAACCAGATATTAAATCATACATTTTAATACCAGCCCAGTAATAGGGAAGTTGCCACCATCTAGAAAATGAAGAAAAATGCATTCAAAAATACTACTATTAAACATGAAAGTAATGATTATATATAATAGGAAATTTCAAAACGTATAAAAATGGGTACAATAATCTACTGATATGAAATTAAAAACAGTTGAAGAGTGGAAATATGGTAAAAAAAACAGACTGGAAGTTGGAATTCATTGGCTGTTGTATCGCGTTTCAGTGGCTGAATATTATACGAGCTCGTCTTGTAACCGGAAGGTTCTGGGTTCATTCAAACCCCGCCAAAAAATTCCGAACTAGGACGAAATAGCTTCCCAGTACTCCCTGGTTTCCAGTGTCAGTTCGTGATCTTACCTGAAACAAATCATATCCTTACAAACTAACACTTAAAGACCAACAGTCACAAAGGGAATACTACGACATTTTGTGATCACATGCATTGAATAGTGTTAGGTTCGATTCCAAAGGAAATAGTATCACACTAAAGTGGGAGTATGCCTACCTGAGAAGTCTTGAACAAGATGAAATCTTAATCCTGTAATACACTGGGAATCACAACCGAACAAATAAGATTATACTGACAGCAATAGGTGGAGTACTGATGTAAGAGTAAATCTATAATAACAGTAATTATCAGTACTACATTCAAATACTTGCTTAAACTTCACAATAATGATATTCTGATACTGTTGTTATCAAAGTCAACAGAACTGTACCACTAAATGAGGGGGTGCTCTCATATATCTGAAAAGTAAATACACTGGAATGGTTTAGAATATACAATTCATACATCCTTCTAAAACTGTTAGAACAAGTGGAGAATGATGTCACATCCCACTATTCATTAATTTAAATGCACATATGGTTATACACACTCATCAACCTGAAACCAATCTGGAAATCTTCGTCACTCAGCCAGTATCAACAACAAAATCCAGTCGGATTTTCAATACAAACGTCAAGTCAGTTAGTTCTTATATACGGATCAGAAACTTGGCGGGTGGGTCACAAGGAATATTTGCACCAACAGTCTGTTGCAGACCTTCAACAACAACCGCCTTCGCTCTATACCGAAGATCAGATGGCTGGAAAGAATCATCAACAAAAAAACTATAGGAACAAACAAAACAAGAACCAATCACCAACCAACAAATATGCAGGAGGAAGTGGAGATGGACTGGACACTCGCTCACTGAGGAGGCCGCTGGGGGACATCGCGCACGCGTCAGGCCATTGCTCGAGTGGAAACAGGCCGAAAGGGAAGCAAGCGGCGAGTGGGACGTCAGTCCAAGGGTGGCATGGAGGAGACCGTGTGAAGAGGAGTTGAAACAGTATGGACTACCATGGATGCAAGTGAAAAGTACAGCAGCAGAAGACAGAAGCAAGTGGAGACGTGCAGTTGAAGCCCTATGTTCCACTAGGAACCCAAGGGAACAATAATAATAATAATGGTTATACATGCATAGAAAGCACTAGTCGAGCTACAAAGCAGACTAAGTTCGTAAAACCTATTAATTATGAAAACAGATGACTAGGCTCCTCAACTTCAAATCACATCATTGATACAGGGTATAAAATAGATATTTATAAATCTTTTCAACTAATTTATAGAATCTGTTAGGGTCGTATCCTAAAGTTTGTAGATGTCCAAGTCAAGTCATCTTTATTTGTTGACAAACCTGTTCGTCATCATATCAAGCCTTCTAATTAGTAGATTTTGGTATAGAGACCAAAACCAATGCACTGTTATACTTGCTTATCTGCTTTATTGATCTCCAATTGTTATTTTGACCTTCATTTTGACCTATATTCATTCTCACACTCATGATCACCTTATTGACTTGCGTAGAAATTCCTATGGCAAGTCCTTGTATGAAAAGATTGTTTCAAATGTGTTGCTTAAATACATTTCACGATTCAAACACACTGAGTCTTCTTATTGTTTTGATCCAGACAGTTATTTTTCACCTTCAATACCATTAGTTCTTTTGGTAAGAGATTACAAGAAACACAATCTGTAGAAACTGCGTAATATAACATTTGAACGAGACATTCAAAATCATTTGCTATATATACGTCATAGATAAGGGATGGAAAAAAAAGAATAAAGGTCATTTCAAAAATTTCATACATTAGGTTCCCTTGATAAATTTCTATAAAGAAAGAAAGGTCAGATAAGAAAGGAAAGCCAAAGTGATGACTAAAATTAGAGAATGAAGGTGATAAAAGCTAGAAAATGATAGTAAATTACACTTCGTAACTCCAATGAAGTTTCCATTAAATATGTGACAGACTGGTTTCAAAGTAGAACTTTGCACACATGTCCAGCAGTTCGAGTCACCACACCCCATGTAGCACACAAATCAACAGAAAAGAATAAAGAGGGACTCAAAACAGAGATAATAAACAGAAATATGAGGCAAAAAGAATATTAATATGGAAGAACAATATAGTTTTATTGGATATTATAAGTCACAAGGAGTGGATGTATATGCACCATTGGTAATGACAATTTTCAGCCATGTCACCACTTGTCTTCAGTCATTGGTGTTTATCGTCCCGAGGACCCGAAATACGAAGTCTACACCTTCCTACATGACTTAAACCAACTATTTTGGGTATTTAAGTACGGTGGAGACAGCTTACTGTCCGGATTAACTGAGGTACTAGGCAGCGTCTGGGAATCAGAAGAAGTCCCATCGGGTTGGTGTAAGTCACTGATTATCCCCATATACAAGAAGGGAGACAAGTCTTCCTGTGATAATCACAGAGGGATTAGCTTGACTAATATAGTATCTAAAGTCTTAGGCTCAATAATCATGCGTAGACTGAGTGGTGCTCGGGAAGCACAAACACGAGAGAGCCAGGCAGGCTTTAGACCAGGAAGAGGGTGTATTGATCATATCTTCACCCTCCGACAGATTCTAGAACATAGGCATTCCTACCGGCGTCCAACAGTCATTATATTTCTTGACCTAAAGGCAGCATTCGACTCTGTCGATCGGGAAGTTCTCTGGAGATGCTTGGCTGTAAAGGGAATTCCGAGAAAATATATTGCACTGATTAAGGCACTCTACTCGTACTCATACAGCCAGGTGAGGGCTTACGGCGAGCTGTCATCTGAACTGATGACGACCAGTGGTGTCCGTCAAGGATGCCCATTATCTCCTTTTCTATTCAACTTCATCATAGATGTGTTAATGGACTTAACCCTAGGTGACTTCAGCGACTCAGGGATTGACTTGCTACCGGGGAATAATCTCGTTGACTTGGAATATGCAGACGATATAGTCCTTCTAGGCGAAGACGCTGACGAAATGCAGAGTCTTCTAAACACCTTGAGCCGCAATCTACGAATGTTTGGCATGCGATTCGCTCCCGCCAAATGCAAGATGATGTTACAGGACTGGACTACATCGACGCCTAGTTTAAAAATAGGAAGTGAAGTGGTAGAGCACGTTGACCGCTTCACTTATTTGGGAAGTACCATCAGCCAGTGCCAACGGGTTGATCTCTGACGAAATCTCAGCACGAATACAGGGGGCTCGTTTCGCATTTGCCAGTTTACGCCGACTCTGGCGTAGACGAGATGTTCGACTATCGACCAAAGGGCGGGTGTACTGCTCATCAGTCCGCTCCGTCCTCCTTTATGGTTGTGAGACCTGGCCACTGAGAGTGGAAGACATGAAAAGACTAGCTGTCTTTGATCATAGGTGCCTGCGTTCTATTTCCCGTGTAAAGTGGCATAATAAGGTGAGCAACATGGAGGTTAGGCGTAGAGTTCTAGGTAAACAGGGGAAATCAATCGACGAAGTCGTGAAGCTACAAAGACTGAGATGGTTAGGACATGTGTTACGTATGCCAAGCCATCGCCTCCCTCGACGAGCTATGTTAGCGGATATAGGGTCAGGCTGGAAAAAAGCTAGCGGCGGTCAAACAAAAACTTGGCATCAGTCAATGAAATCCACAACAGTTGGTCTAAGCCACGTAGAAAGGTGTAGACTTCCAGGCTGGGGTCCTCGGGACGGTAAAAATCTATGGTTGGAAACAATTGGTGACATGGCTCAAAACCGTTCTCAGTGGCGCAGATGCATCCACTCCCTGTGACTTATGATTTCCAATGAAACTGTTTTGTATTTCTTTATTACTCCTTTGTCTCACACCTCTGCTCACTGTTTCTATTATGCTTTTCTTGTACTTTCTTCTCTTGCTTCGCGTGCTACACGGAATGTGGCGACTTGAACTTCTGCACATTTGTGCAAAGTTCTATGTCGAAAACAGACAGACAGACAGTTGTGGGTTTCATAGACTGATGAAGCCATGTTTTAGTTTGACCACGACTGGCTCTTTTTTCAACCTGATTCTATTTCAGCTAACACTGTCCGTCGGTCGAGGAAGGTGATGGCTAGACATGCATGCGTAACACATGTCCTAACCATCTCGGTCGATGTAGCCTCACAGTCTCGTCGATTGATTTCCCCTCCTTACCTAGCACTTGACGCCTAACCTCAATATGGCTCACCCTATTATACCACTTCACACGACAGATAGAATGCAGGCACCTATGCTCAAAGACAGTTAGCCAGCCAGGCTTTTCACGTCTTCCACTCTCAATGGCCATGTCTCACGGCCAGTTATAAATGAGGACGGGAAGGACTACACACGCTCTCTGGTCGATAGCCAGCGGGATATCACGTCTATACCAGAGATAGAGTAAACTGATATGTGCAGACCGAGCCTTCTGTATCTGTGCAGAGATTTCGTCAGTGATCTACCTGTTGGCGCTGGCTGATGCAACTCCCCAAGTGAGTGAAGAGGTCAACGTGATCTACCACTAGTCGTTTTAATGCAGCCCTGTAGCATCATCTTACATTTGGCGGGAGCGAATCGCATGTCAAACATTCGAAGATTGCAGCTCAAATCGTTCCGAAGACTCTGCATTTTGTCAGCGTCTTCACTCAGGTGGGAGGACTATATCATCTGCATATTCTAAGTCAACGAGATTATTCCCTAGTAACAAGTCAATCCCTAAGTCTCAGAAGTGAGTTAGGGTAAATTCCATCAGTACATCTACGATGAAACTAAAGAGAATTTATGAGAACAGTGGACATCCCTGTCGGACACCAACAGTTGTCACCACTTCAGATGACATCTCGCCGTAAGACCTCTCCTGGTTGCATGAGTTCGAGTAGAGTGCCTTGATAAGTGCAACATATTTTTTGGCATTCCTTTCACAACCAAACATCGCAAGAGTACCTTTCAGTCGACAGAATCGAATGCCACCTTAAGTCCAAGGAATATAACGATTAGTGCACGCCGGTAAGTATGCCTATTTTCCAGAATCTGTCGAAGGGTGAAGATATGATCAATACACCCTCTTCCTAGTCTAAAGCCTGCCTGGTTTTCTCGTGTTTGTGTCTCCCGAGCACCACTTAGTCTATGCATTATTATTGAGATACCATATTAGTCAAGCTAATTCCTCTGTGATTAAAAATCAAAGGGACTTTAATGAGTGACAATGTGTTGGAGAAGGAATAGTTGCATAGGAAAACATGAGGGTTTCATGGATCTCGGAGATTACAAAGAGTGAATGCATCTGCGCCATCGAGTAAGATTTTGAGTCATGCCACCAACAGTCTCCTGTCACGGATCCTTAGCGTTTTTAGGATCCCAGTCTACACAGCTCCCTACCTGACTCTAACCAGCAGTCAAAGGCTTCATGAAATGATTTCAAATTTTGATTTGACCACCCCTAACTCTCTTCCAATTTAATTCTACGTCAGTTGACATTGTTCGTCGAGGATAGCAATGGATTGGCATGTGTAACACACGACCTAGTCATATCAATCTATGCAGCTTCATAACCTCATCGATTGGTATTCTCTCCTTACCCAGCACTATATGCCTGACTGCAATATTACTAACCATATTATACTACTTAACACGGAAAACATATACGGTCAAAGATAGTTAGCCTCTTCAAGTCTCCCACTTTAAGCAGTCACGCATCAGAGACATAAAGAAGGACAGAGTGGAACTGCCAGTCAGTACACACACATTCTTCGAACAACAGCCGGATATTTTGTCTACGCCAAAAATGACACAATTTGGCGAATTTCACACGAACCTTTTGGGATTTCCTGAGCAATCAGTTTATCAACTTCGGTGCAGCTTCTATGTATGCTTGAATGACAGCTAACTGGGAGTTAGTGAATAAAATTGAGCGTTTTCATGTTATATAGCATTTGAGGACAACATTAAGAAGTTGAGGCACTCAGGCATTACCCAACCACTCCTCTAACAGTTTATCAACTCGTGTAGTTTACCTATTCTTCTTTACTGTTCACCCTTATTCTTTCCTGGATTGCCTAAAAAGACTATGTCATGCTTCACAGGACTCTGAAGATTGTCAGTAGGAAGAGTGGTATCCCATTGGGCCATATCGTTGACATTGTCACTGACAGGCACTTGATGTCATGCAACAAATTTGCTAGAGGAGTTTTGTCAGACTCTGAGCACCCACTCTACTCGCAGCTCCAACCTTGTGTCTCCTACTCAGGTAAAACATGAAGTCTTTTTAGAAGAATTTACGGACGGACGTCTAAGTATAAAAATTCCACTATACCGTACTTGGTACGTACTTTATGTGATGAAAATGGTGTTAGGCATGAACTAACTAGCCTTCTTTGCACTACTAAATAAACCATTTTCTCCACCCTTACAACATCAAACATTATTGTTATTGTTCCCCTTATATTCATAATTCCCTCAATTGTTTTTTATTCATGTGTGTGAACATCATTTAAGCTGTGTGAATAACTGCTAATTTTGTATTTACCCTCATTATACTATATCAACAGAACATTAGATCCAATAATCTCTAACATGCAAAAATTTCCTAATCGAAACGACAATACTGTTTGAAACAAACTCACTGTTATTATCATTATTCTCATATTTAATAATCTCACTTCGTGTTTCGAATATTTTTGAATTTATATCGTGAACGTGGACAAATTCCTCTGGTTAATTTTGTTTTAATCTTTAATTATATTTATATTTTAAGTAAATTAGATGCAATATTGTGACAAATACTGAGAATGCCATTCTGTACTATAAGTACTGTTTTTGGAATAAACCAAACTATTATTATTATTCTCTAGAATCCTAAGTCTTCCACTTGCAATGAATCAGTGTTTTATAAACAGTTACATGCTATTTCAGTATGATAAACAAACACAGGATGATTCTGACAGTTTGCTTATACCTAACTTCATGATTCTCTAATGAGAAAGAAAAAATAAAGGAAGTACCAGTCAAGGAGTATGATCACAGAAACTCGACCAGAATCATTCACACAAGTAATAATAACAAAGGAAGTACATAGTACTCTAGCGTATGAATCGACGGGTTTTGGATAGGAACCTTAGTGGTAATACCATCAACCCATTTGAGGAATCCCAAATAGGATGAAATTCGTATCCTGGATCCCACTAGTAGTCATCGTCAACCAAAATAACAGATCAAAAATAATCATTAAAGAAGTCATTCAAAAGAGATATATGTAGCAGTGTTTTTAATCTGCATTAGCTTCATCAGGGGCAGAATGCTCGCCAACCACGCATGTGGTCCGGGGTTCGAGCCCCGGCTGACGCACTCCTTTACCTCACTAAGCCAGTAATAAGACTGGTAAAGAGGGAAGGTTGGGCATGAGGCTAGCAACCCCCATCCCGTGAAAATAAACATCACTGCTACCGAAACTTCAAGCCTCTAGCTTAAAGCTCTATGTTCCACTGGGAACGTAAACGAATAAATAAAAACTTCATAAGCAATAAGAAACGCACAAATGTGAAAAACATACTTGTATATTGGCAACATAATTGGTAATGGATAAGCTAAGTGTGGAGCTATATCAATTAGATTTGATCGTTCATTAAGCGCTTCATTGACCATACGAAATTGTTCTATATCAAAGTTAAATATAGCCTTTTGTAGATATCGAACACCACCATGAATGAGTTTAGTTGATCGAGAAGATGTACCCGAAGCGAAATCCAATCTTTCGATGAGACAAGTTGACAAGCCTATTTAACAACAAGACAAGAAAAAAATAAATGGTAAACACAGTTATACGGTTGATTAAATAAGTCGGCAGATAGTAGTATCTGTTGGTGTGTAGACAACTGAAGATTTATCATATTTAAACAATAATTACAAAATATATGCAATACTCAATATTCTGACCCGTAGAACTTCAAAAATCACCCCCCCCCTATTTACTGATTACATAATTATTGGCCAAGTCTGAAAATTATTTCATAATCAGCCTAAGAGAAAATGCTGAAGAGAAAAAAAACATGCGTCGTATTTGATGCTAACTTTCAGTTTTGTTGTATTCAACTTCAGTAGCTATTCAATGTGAAATATGATAACTTTCGGAGAGTGTTAAATAATGTCTCTTTGTTTGTTTGTCTACGGAACAATGAACACTGATAAACACAAAAAAACATGAATAAAACAACAGAAACTATTCACTTCTTAAGAATAGATAGTCTGCATTGAATGACTGTATCATATGAATGGCGATAACCAAGATTTGATAGTAGTTAGTGTACTCTCACAACGCTGAGGTGAGTAATGGTTCTCGAGAACTAAAAACTATCAAATATCAGTAGAAGAAAGAAAGTTTCATTTCAGAGGCTTAAAGTTAATAATGTAAGATTTATATGAATTTGAGATTTTCCCGTCGATTGATTGGACCGAAGTGCTCGGTCTCACTGAGAAATGCAGGTATATCCAGCTGACGAGTCCCAAATAGAACCAAATGTGCATCCTAGATTCCACTGCTAGTGAACTTCCACCAATTAAATTAATATGTAAGATGTTGAGAAATGCATTTCGGTGTTGGGGTAGATAGTGTAAGGAGATAAATACTATGAACAACACATGTTTATAGAGGCGGGACTAAATGAATTTATCGAATTTCGGTAGAACTCTTCAGCTGAATAGGCAACAGCTAGTGTTATATCTACTAATGAGAAGTATAAGGGAAGATATGTGACTGATAAATAGTCGACCACATTAAACAACAGGGGTTAAAATGTTCTACAGGTCAAGTACAGATAGATAAGATGGAAGGGGTTGTTTGGTAGAATACTCTACAAATAACCACGTGGTCCAAGGTTCGATTCCTGGTCTTCGCATTACTAAGCTTCGTTTAGCGGATAGGGAAAGGAAGGTGGGACAGGAGTCTAGCAACATCATCCTATAAAAGATAACACCACCGCTAGAGAAACTTTGGAGCTGGAAGCCTTATGTTCCACCGGGAACGCGAAGGAAGTAGAATAAAATAATAAGTCTCTCAATACTATTTTCTTAATTCCTTTCACTATTATTATTATGAATATTGTTCATTTTGCAATTTCTGACATTTTCAAGTTCTTTCCCCAATCAACAGATGTTTCCAGTGAGTAGAAGAGATTTGAAAGTGTCCTGAATAGTTTTTTTTCGTTTTTTGATTACAGCTTGATTCCACACTGTATTTTCGGTACATGTATGGAATTTTCAGCATGTGATATCGGTAGCCCAAATTTTGCAGGCCGACCATAGATATCAGGTGTGCGTCGGCAGGGGATCGAACCCCGTACCATATGCGCGGTCGGCGAGAGTCCTAACCACTGTGCCACCCACGCACGTTATGTGGATGATATTCTTGTTATTGGTAACAATGATGAGTCGATTGACAACTTCATTTACTCTATTTACTGCCATTCATCTAAATATTCTAGTGACCTCAGAATACAAATTGCATAACAAATTGGGTTTCTTGGATATTTCGGTGACTAGGCAGAAGGCCGGAACAACTAAACGACCTATATTTCTCAAACAGACATAGACTGGACAACATCTTTCCTTCAGTTTTGTTCCTATTCAGTATAAACGTTCGCCAGTGAAATGCAAGTACAATTTGCATGAAAGACACAATAATGGATGAGCTACGAAGCATACATTCAGTTTCATTGGCTAATGGATATCAAGGAAGCCTTATCGCATGTCACAGTAAAGAGAGACTGCCACTTCAAAAAGACATCTTTCGTACCGGACAAAGTTATCTTTATTCAACTACCGTTCAAGGGTGATCGAGTCATGCGGTTGACTGATCAAAGGATCCGGTCAACTTACAAAGGTATATCCTACACCCCATCCCTTTTCCTCATATATCGACCTACGATTAAACGACGAAATTCTGTGGTTTCTAGTCCACACTGCATATACAAGTTCACCTGCAGTTCCAGTGACACTGACACAATTACAACCAATAGAATGTTCCAGTGACGTTGGAAAAAACATCTTCCTAAATGGTTATTATGACACACAAAAAACCAAAATGCAATTAATCTGAATTTAAAACAGTTAGTCCCTTTTTATAAATTTTGATAGAGTTATTAGAATCTGAATAGAAATCCAGCATCATTATCATTGTCTATTGCAAAGCACTTATTAATGTCTGGTCACAAAATCAATATCAACGACTGTTTCACAATTATTTCATCACATAACTCTAATTCAAGGTTACCCAAGGTGATGATGGAAACACTTTGGAAGGTTAATCAATCGCATACATCCTAAACTATGTGTACGTAAAACACAATAGACACTTCAACCTTCGCCCACCATGGACTGACTACTTGACCTATTCAGATATGATTGTTTATTAGTATGTACTTTTGTTTTGCATAAAGGAGTGATTGTCATGCGTCTTATTTTATTACTGTGAACTATGTTGTTTGGTAAAGCGATTCTAGAGAAACTACGATATGATCTCAACTCATGATATTTTTCATTGAATTTTTGATTTTTCCGTCGACTGATTGGACCGAAGTAATCGGTCTCAGGTTGACATGTCGGCTTCTTGTGCAGATGCTTCGACGATGTCTGGGCATTTATAGTTAGGATACAATTGGTGGATGGTGACTAGCAGTGGAATCCACCAAGATGCGCATTTCGTCCTATTCGGGACTCGTCATCTGGATGTACCTGTATTTCTCAGTGAGTGATGATGTTCCTACCGAGGCTCGAACCCAGTGCCCATAATTTCAAACGCCAAATCGTTATCCACTAGACCATTTGGCCCACCTCTTGTGCAACAGGTCATATTAATTATTTCATTGAATTTCTGATTTTCCCGTCGATTGATTGGACCGACGTGCTTGATTTCTTTCTTAAGTAAAGCAATAAGAACACGTAACTTGTCTGAATCGTGTAATGTATTTGCGCTACACATTTCCAACAATCTGATCACACACGGACTTGTTATAACAATGTATATATATGAAATTAATAAAGAGGTAAGAGGTGAGAAAATAGACTGTTTAGGTCAAGCTTAAAGGACATATTCAGGGTCAAAATAACTATGAAGACCACTAAACCAAATAACAGAGGTAATAGTACATCTGCTATGGTATCAAAACTAAATTTACCAAGGAACGTTTAATGTGATGACGAATTGTTTTTGAACGCACAAAGGTGGTTTAAACTTCTTAATTGCCAGCTAGGGCTTCCACAAACTTTAAGATACGCCCCAAACACGTTTTATAGATAGGTTTAAAAGACCTGTTAACATTAATTTTACGTCCTGTCTCTATAATATGTTTCTCAATAGTTTTTTTTTGTCTCCTGTTCTCGCCGTTTATGGGTTCTGAAGATTCCATTTGTTTCTGGAGCCATTTAGGAATATGCTCTGAAGCCCTTACTGGCAGAGATCGATGAGTCCTCCCTTATTTAAAATTACACTAAACCGGTGACTAAATGTTTCAATTCAGTTGTTGCAATCTGTTAAGAAACGGGACTATCAGTTGCAGACGAACGCACTTACGCATCACACACAAAAGTAAAATGCACAAACACACACATGCGTAGAAAATGTTTTTGCTGTAATTGACAAGTGTGTGTAGTGTAGTGTAGTTAGAGACATCAATTAAAACTTGATGATCAGAAAGGAAAGATTATTATATATATAGTTAAGTCTACATGCATACAACAGTTCACACATAATAAGAATTTTCTAAATGAAATTGAATATTCATTTTGATAGGCTTTAAGAATGAGAAAAAAAGCCCCACACATCACATGACATAATTGATTTTATTATTGGAGAACAAACACTTATTTTTGGACTAATTATACTTTTTTATAATTAACTTATAGGCGAATAAAGTACAGTTTAATATTGATATGTACCTATGATCTCAAGTGTTAGCCATTTTTGTGTATATCAATTTTTTTTATTATTTTAACTGCCTAACATATTTAATCATCTTGAATGATTCTACTCGAAGTGTGATTAATACTGTAAATTTGTTAAGTTTGTTGACGACAGACAGACTGACTGATATCAGTCAGGAGAACCACTACTGAACGGTTATTTTGTCCTGGTTTGGAACTCTTCATCAGGATACACCCATGAGGCCATTGCCAGTCTACTAACTCAGGAACTCAGGGATTACAAGGCAGGTTCACTGACTATTTAACTAAGAGGAGGGAACCGAATAGTTCATGAATTCTAAATTCGGTTAATTCCAGGCGATGACTTTGGTGGTGACGGGCGGTCTGTATATCGTGAATTGACAGAAGTCAGAATTCATAGGCCACTGGATTCTTTTGTTTTAACTGAATGGTGAGCTAATAGACCTTGTAACTTGTACTCACGCATATTTTTCAATTGGCTTTCAAACTACCGATGGGTATTTCCTGAAGACAAAGGAAAAATATCAAAAGGGATTAGTCCGTGCTTCATGTCTAACAGCACGGCGTCACGTGATATACTATAGACTGCTATTCCTTGATAAGGAGAAAATATTATGCAATTAATTACGCTGAGAATTCTGTATACTGTGTAAACATTATGTTCAGAATAAAGCTCTTATTTATTATTTATTTTGTTTAAAGTTTTAGGTTCGACCCCCGACAGGCTCTTTGCTGCGTACTGCTGAAGAATCCCAGGGTTGGATGAAACTCCTGTCCAATACTCTCTGGTTTTAATTGGTCATCTAGCTGATATCAATCCTTCATCAAACATGAATAC